ATAATAAAATAATAATAAAATAATAAATATATTTCGGGTGTATATGCACCTAGGCCTCAGCCCCCGGCCGCGGCCCCCCGCCGCCGCCGCTCCCCCGGCTGTCTGTTCAGCAGACCTTCGTTGTGCGGAACCCCGTTAATATCATCAAGTCCTCGCTGCAAGCAAAAATAGTAAGTTTATTTTATTTATTTTTATTTTATTTTATTTCCTCCTGCTGCTGCTGCTGCTGCTGCTGCTGCTGCTGCTGGCGGTGGGCGGGGAAGGGGGGGAGGCTCGTCCGCCTCGTTCTGGTTATGGGGATTATGCTGCTGCTGCTGCTTTTTTCCTGCTGCTGCTGCTGCTGCTGCTGCTGGTGCTGGTGCTGCTGCTGCTGGTGCTGCTGCTGTTGCTGTTGTTCTTGCTGCTGCAGTTGTTGTTGTCTTTGCTGTTGCTGCTAGTGTTGTCTTGATGAATTTTCAATTGCTTATTTGCTGCTCTTTCTGCTGCTGCTGCTGCTGCTCTTTCTGTTGCTGCTTCTGCTTTACTCCTGCTCCTGCTGCTGCTGCTGCTGCTGCTGCTGCTGCTGCTGCTGCTGCTGCTGCTGCTGCTGCTGCAGGAGTGTGGCCGTGTGTTGATATCTTTTCGCGTGGACACGCTCACAGCAGCAGACGTTCGGCTTTTCTTTTTTCCTAAATTCGTGCAAACCACCACACACACGTAACACACACTCCTGCTGCTGCTGCTGCTGCTGCTGCTGCTGCTCCTGCTGCTGCTGCTGCTGTTGCTGCTGCTGCAGTTGTAGACGACACACACGTAGTACACACTCCTGCTGCTGATGCTGCTGCTGCTGTTGCTGCAGTTGCTGCTGCTGCTGCAGTTGCTGCTGCTGCTGCAGTTGCTGTTCCTGCAGTTGCTGCTGCTGTTGGTGCTGCTGCTGTTGGTGCTGCGTTGTTGCTGTGTGGTTCTTGTTGCTGCTGCTGCTGCTACCATTGTTGTTGCTGCACCTGCTGCTGCAGCAGCTTCTGCTGCTGCAGCATTCGCCGCTGCTGTACCTGGCTGTTGCTGCTGCTGCTGTTGGTACGCGTGTCTCTACTGCTGCTGCATGTGCTGCTGCTGCTGCTGCTGCTGCTGCTGCTGCTGCTGCTGTGTATACAGGAGCGAACCTTCTTCTTATCTTTTTGCTTCTAAGCCGCGGAGATTTGGCGCGGGGCTGCAGCAGCTCTTTGAGGCTACTCTAGAGGGTGTGCTGCTGCTGCTGCTGCTGCTGCTGCTGCTGTTGCTGCTGCTGCTGCTGCTGCAGCTGTTGCTAGGGCTTGTGATGCTGCTGCATGGTGGCTCTGCGTGGTGCTTCGCACTGCTGCTTGCTGCTGCTGCTGCTCTTGTTGCTGCTATTGTTACTGCTGCTGTCACTGCTGCTGCAGCTGCTGCTACTGCTGCTGCTGCTGTTACTGCTGCTGCTGCTGCTGCTGCTGCTGCTGCTGCTTGCTGCTGCAGATTCCCCTTTGGCTTCAGCCTGTATTGAAGCGCTCAGTGCTAAGGACGGAGAAAACCAGCAGCAGACAGATGACTGCGACTTGCTTATACAGCTGGTTAGCTGCTGCTGCTGCTGCTGCTGCTGCTGCTGCTGCTGCTGCTGCTGCAGTTGTAGTCGGTGTTGCACCTGGTGTTGCCTTTCTGCTATTACTGCTTCTGCTGCTGTTGCTGCTGTTGCTGCTGTTGCTGCTGTTGCTGCTTTTGTTTTTGCTGCTGCTTTTTCTTTTGCTGCTGCTTCTGCTTTTGCTGCCGTTACTTTTGCTGCTGCTGCTGCTGCTGCTGCTGCTGCTGCTGTTGAGTTTGGTGCTGCTGGCGTGCATGCGGCTGTGCAGCGAGTTGTCTCGCCCGAGGGGACTGCTGAGGCTCCAGCAGCAGCAGCAGCAGCAACAGCAGCAAAAGCAGCAGCAGGAGCAGCAGCACCAGCAGCAGCAGGAGCAGCAGCACCAGGGCAAGCAGGTGCAGGACCTGCAGCGGCAGCAGCAACAGCAACAGCAGCAGCAGCAGCAGCAGAGGGGGTTCGGCAGCAGCTAACTTACGCGGCTTTCGTGCTGCAAGAGACTGCAGC